GTATTATCTGCAAGTGTGGGTGTACTTGTGCATATGTCCTCTCTTCATATCAGCTGGATGCTTCACTCTCCACTCTAGTCCTCTGTGGCTATGTCACTGACTCTGGGCCCAACAGTCCCCAGGTCTTGCAACACTGTTGGCCAGCCAGGTCTCCACCCGGGTTCACAGGAGTCTATTGAACGTAGTAGGGCTTAGCTTACAGCTTCATTGCTGTTTTCCCCTCACTTCCCCTTATTGGTGATGAATGTGGTAACCAATCAGAGCGTGTATTTCCAATGAGTCTTAGTCTTGGAAGGGGGTTTGTTTTGAAGGGACCCGACCACTTGCCTTGGTGAGAAGACTCCTTTTGGTAGTATTTGGGAAGTGGGGTGCCTTGATGATGCTGAGGTGGGGTTGCTTTTCCCAGAAAGATGAGCCAGGGAAGGGTGAGGTGGATAAAAAGGCAGATAAGGTAAGGTAAAAGCTCTTTGGTGCCAAGTTGCTGATGTCAAAACAGGTAAAAGGCACAAGAGATCTTACCTTCCAGTTTTGCCCAGTCCTGTTTCAGGAATGCAGCTTCTTGCCAACAGGAGTCTTGGTTTTTCATTATATAAATAGGCCTTCCCTGTCTTGTGGGGAGTGGGGCTCCTAGTCCCTGACTTGAGACATCAGACTCAAGAGCTCAGTCAACTCCCCTTCGTTCCACTCAAATTCCAGCCTCTCTCTACTGTGAGCCTTGGAGGAACACACCCTCCCCCATGACCAACGTCCAGTCCAATAACATCCCCCTGACAGCACCTACACTCTGCATCTCATCCATATACAGCCCCATCTATTCTCTGCCCAGCCTCCTGGCCCTATAACCTGCCCTCAGTCCCTTCTCCCTGCTTGTCTATTGCTACTGTAACAGAAATGCCACAAATGGGTAATTTAAAACAAATACATTTATTTTATTTTCTCCAAGTTTAGAAGTCGAGAAGTCTGAATTCAGCACTGACTATAGAGAAAGGCTTTGTCTCTCTGTGGGCTCTGGGGGAAAATCTTTGTCGCTTTTCAGTTTTTATTCCTTGGTGATCATGGTCATCTTCATATGGCATGACATTTATCTTCCTCCATCTTTGCTTGCTTGTTTACTTGTTTAAACTGTTGTTTTATATCTTTTCAAAAAAATTTTGTTGAGAATATATACAACAAAGCATACACCAATTCAATAGCTTCTACTTGTACCATTTAGTGACACTGATTACATTATTCAAGTGTCCCCCCCCACTTTTGATCAGGATATTTCTATAGAACCTTTGATCAGTGTTCAGTATTGGGCACTGTCCAGTTTTACTGTTCTCATGGCAAAGGAGGCCGTTGTTCATTGAAACAATTAGCTACAAATTCCATGTCCTCCTCCTATTCCTGTCTCTCCTTCTTCCTCTGCCTCACGTGAATAGACACTAATGGTTGTGTCTTGGATGGCCGCTTGCAAGCAAAGCTGGTTTCTTCTTTTCTCCCCTTTTCAATATTTTATTGTTTTTCTAGCTGAAAGTTTTACACAGTAGATTAGGTTCCAATTTAACAATTTTTCTGTGGCAGTAGTTGCAATTTTCATAATGTGTCAGCATTCTCAAGATTTCCATTCTGTTTGTTCTATTTCCATTGATCTAGCTTCTCTTCCCATTTTACCCAGAAGCCTTTCATCTGTGCTTTTGGGTAAATACTGACTGTCTGATCTCATATAGTTCATTATTTAAGGGACACATTACTGACAGGTGTGTTGGGCTGAAAGGTGCCCTCTGTGAGAGTAGTGGTTTAAGTTTTAGGTTAAAAGGGTATCTTAAGGCAGTAGCCTTGGGGGTTCTTCTAGTCTCTTATCAGTTCAGTAAGTCTGGTCTTTTAATGAATTTGAGTTTGTTCTTTGTTATTTTCCCATACAAATGGGACCTTCTATTGTGTGCCTAGTTAGAATAGTAGGTAGTGTAGCCATGGAATGTCTAGTTCGTATGGTCTCAGATTAAAAGAGGCAGAGGTTTGCATGGGACATTAGTCCTGTGGATGACTTTCTTCCTTGAGTCGTTTACTTCCTTCATTCCTTTCGATTCTACATACTCTACACCAATAGTTGTATCTTAGATGGCCACTTGCAAGTTTTTAAAGACTCAGGCACTACTCATCAAACTAGGGTGTAGTAACATTAACTTTACTACCTATGTTATGCCAAATGACTAAGATATCCCAGAAGACTGTTGTGCTAAGCCCTTCAACTCAGTAAACCAATTCCATGATACAATTGACAGAATACTGACGGAAATGTTTCAACAAACTGATACAGTGCTGGAAGCACTCACTAGTCTATTCCAATTAATTTGGAAAATATGAAATTTGGAAGACAGCTACCTGGCCGACTGACTGGAAGAGATCCATATTTGTGCCCATCCCAAAGAAAGGTGACCCAACAGGATGCAGAAATTATTGAATGATGCTATTACTATCACACATAAGTAAACATTTGCTGAAGACAGTTAAAAAAATGGTCCATTGATAGGAAGCTGTAGAAACTCAAGCTGGATTCAGAAGAAGATACGGAATGATGGATATCATTGCTGATGTCAGGTTGATCTTGGCTGAAATCAGAGACTATAAAAAAGATGTTTTTGTTGTTGTTAAGTACTGTGGAGTGATTCTGACTCATAGTGACCCTGCACAGGGTTTCCGAGGCTGTAAATCTTTACAGGAGCAAAATGCCTCATCTTTCTTCTGTGGAGCAGCTGGTGGTTTCAAACTGCTGACCTTAAGGCTTACAGCCCGTTTTGTAACCACTACGCTACCAGAACTCCAATAAAGATGTTTACTTCTGTTTTATTGACTATTCAAAGGTATCTGTGTGGATCAGCACAAACTACAGATAACATTGTGAAGAATGGGAATTCCAGAATACCTAATTATACTGATATTGTCAGGAGGGATCAGTCGCTGGAGAAGGATGTCATGTTTGGTAAGGTGGGGAGGGTCAGAGAGAAAGAGGAAGACCCCCAGTGAGATGGATTGGCAAAGTGGCAGCATCAATGGACTCAAGCATGGCAACAATAGTTAGGTTGGCCCAGGATCGGGCAGTGTTTCATTCTGCTGTGCATAAGGTTGCTATGAGTCGGTACTGACTCGATGGCACCTAACAACAACAACAATTATACTCATGCGGACCTGTACATATAACAAGAGGTAGTTATTCAAACAGAACAAGGTGATACTGCACGGTTTAAAATCAGAAAAACTGTGCCCCAAGGTTGTATCCTTTTATCACCAGTTGTTTAGTCTGTATTGTTTTTTGTTGGTAAGTGCCTTCAAGTCGGTTCTGACTCATAATGACCCTGTGTAGGGTTTCCAAGGAGTGGCTGGTGGACTTGAACCACTGACCTTGTGCTTAGCAATTCAGTGCTTAGCTTACAATGCTACGTCATTATTTGCAGAATAAATAACCTGAGAAGCTGGCCTATATGAAGAACGTGGAATAGGATTAAAGG